GGATTTGAGAAGACAAAGGAACATACAGAACAGCGTCCCCACCCCCCCAAATGATCTCAGAGAGAGAGGGCAGGCCAGTGGCAAAGAAAACAACAGCACAGTCACCCGGGTTGAAATGGGCAGGCATATAGAAATTAAATAAACATTTCAGCTCCTCCAAACTTACAGCGGTTTCCAAGTTTGTCAATCAGGAAGCCAGCCACAATCACCACCAGTGCATTACTAAGGAGAACAAAAAAAGAAACAGATCACAAGGAGGTGGAGATAAATAGCATTTTGTGTGTGTGTGTGTGTGTGTGTGTGTGTGTGTGTGTGTGTCTTGAGTGAGAGAGACAGACAGACAGACCAGACTCACGTCCAGGCATAGATGGCATACAGAAGATTGTATTCTTCAGGAGTCATTCCAAGCCCTTCCACACATTCAGTTGTTGCGTTATGTTCTGTGCCATTGTGTTGAGTTCCATTGGGGCAGGTTAGATTCTGGAGGACAAATCAGAATGAAAACAAAATTATCAGTATCAGAAATTACAAGTGAGCCAAGTTGAAATGCACCCTGGTTTAGGGAGGCTCACCCGCATATTTGTTCCAGATAATTAGAGAATTCCATCTACTGACTAAAGCACACTAAAGTTCCTCACACGAAGTAGTTTTGGTTGTTAGGATCTACTCACATGTATCGAAGGAGTGCACTATATGCAGCTATTGCGGTCTTCTGATCAAGCTTTATGGCTTAGTGTGATTCAACAACCCCGTCAATTATCAATAAAGCATAATTTAAAAACCACAGCTTAGTACAATGTATGAAACCGGTATGTAGCAATATCTAAAAATTCTTAAGCAGGACCTGGGTCTTACACATGGAAAACAAATGAAGCTGCTACATCAGCTATCAAAAATGTGGCTTGGCATTCCCACGGTGCAGAGTTTCTTGAATTCCTACATATACCTTTGGTAACTCAGGTATGGAAACAGCTGGCATTCGTTTTATGTCAATCTCTGCAGCTTCGGAAAGACTTGAAATGAAAAGGCTTGGAAACTTTGCACCTCTGGTCTCTTTGCTCCATGGCTGATATCAAGCTGACTTCTAAAAGGGTCAGAGAGAAAGCGGGGGGAAAACACTCACCCCTTGAAACTGTTCTTGCAAGACACTGGGAATGTCAAAACAGAAGTAGGAACCAAAGGTCAAGAGACAGTTGAAGAAAAGCACAAGGAATCTGTAATAAGCTGCAAAGGGAAATAAAAGGGTTAGAATGGTAGAAAATAGCTCTGCAAATTCTGTATTTTTTAAAAAAAAAACATGGTAATTTCCCCAAGATTTTGATTTCCAGTGGCACCAAGCATCTCAACGACGGATATAATGCCCAGACATTGCACTACTAGTTTGCACAAACGCACACACACATTGTGGTTCTGGCTTGTTTTACTTCCCGAAGACTGGAATGTAGTACACCCAGGCCCAATTTTTCATGTTAAGGGACCAGCAAAAACCACAAGGAGGCGCTTTATATTATGGAATACAGTTGCAAGATAATTTGGAAGGCATTTAATTTGCAAATATTTGTCCTGTATTTTTTTTTTCTCCTTAGCTACAGCTAATCCTTGATTTAAGTCCATTCGTTTAGTGACTATTGGAAGTTGCAACGGCACTGGGGAAAAAAAGTGACTTATGATTGGTCCTTGCACTTATGACCCATTGCAGCATCCCAGTCACAGGATCAAAATTTGGGCCCTAGGCAACTGGCATGTACTGATGACAGTTGCAGCATCCCAGGGTCATGTGACTGGGATATACAGCCTTCCCGGCCTGCTTCTGACGAGCAAAATCAACAGGGAAAGCTGGATGATTCAGTTAATCGTTGCAGGGTTTCACTTTAACAACCGTGGCAGAAAAGGTTGAATAATTGGACGCCACTCACTTAACATCATTTAGCAACGGAAATTCTGGTCCCAATTGCAATCTGTTGAGGAGCACCTGTATTTTCGTGTATGCCATTCTTCATTGTTCCATAAAAACATTCAAATAAACAAACCGAATCTTGCATTCCAGCTGACACCCAACCTGAGATTTTAATCACTGGGACCTGCGGGGCGCAAAAAGCCCAAATACCCCCAGCCCATGCCGAATCCAGCCTCAAAGATCCCCTAATCCCACATCTTGGTTACTTGATTAGATTAACCAAGTTGGAAGGGACCTTGTAGGTCATCTAGCCCAACCCTCCTCACACCATTTCCAACCAATGTCCAATCTCTTCCTGAAAGCAGGATGCTCACAACTTCCGAAGCTGTGCCGCTGTTGCCTTCCAAATGTTCTCATCCAAGGGCCTGTTCTTCTTTCTGATCCTGCCCTTTTTGCCTTTTTTTGTCTTTGTGTTTTAACGGTTTTAATACCTTTTATATTTGTAATTTTAATTGCAAGGGTTGCTTTTTCGCAGCCGCACGCTCAACAGGCATACCGGAGTTAACATTTCAGCCATGGCGAGTCCTGTAGTTCAGCAGGGTCTCCAACCTTGGCAACTTCAAGACTTGTGGACTTCAACTCCCAGAATTCCTCCTCCAGTCATGTTAGCTGAGGAATTCTGGGAGTTGAAGTCCACAAATCTTAAACTTGCCAAGGCTGGACGAGACCCCTGCTGTTGTTGACCCATGGCCACCTCTTTTGGGGATCCGCTCCAGGGAGATTTCCACCATCCCTTCTCCTACTTCCCCCCACCCCACGGCCCAGGATCGGAGTAACTGGGCCTCCTCCAGCCCCTGCCCACGTACCCCGTGGAAATTACGTGCAGAATCCTCACGGGGTGTGAGATCTGGGGCAGGTCTCAATGAGACCAGGTCCTCAATGCAAAAATGCAAAAAAAAAAAAAAAAGGAGGGGGCCTCTGAGCATACGCAGAGCGCCCCGGGACAGGCGGTTCCCCGCTGCATCGGAGTTCGGGGTCCGTGCGGATGATTAACGTGCTCCAGGGCTCACCTTTCTCGGCCGCCGCTTCCGCCATCGCTCCGATTCCCTGCTGGCTGACTCCGCTTCTCCCGAGGCAGCACTGGCCCCGCCCCCAGGCCCGCCCACCATTCCTGGGCCAGAGGCCCCGCCCCTTTCCCCACCCGTCAGCCGCGCTCAGGGACCCGCATTTCGCCCCGCCTACTATTCCCCAGCCCTCCCGACCGGGGCTCCTGCGAAAACTCCGCCCTTCTGTCTCGTGACGTGAACTCCGCCCTCCTTCCCCTCCCCTTTCCCGCATTTGTAACGCCTCCTCCGCCCCTGAAGTTGACACCCTTTGGATGCTGGAGGCTCCTCTGCTCCGCCCCTCAGCGTGAAGCTCCGCCCCCCTTCGAGTGGGGCGTTCCCGCCTTTTCTTGAGGAGGCGCATTTGTCTCTCGTTAGGTGAGGGAGATGGATGTATGAATGTGGAAGGTGTCTCGCTTTTCCAGCGTCCTTTACATTTAAAAAACGTCCCAGAAATAAATATTACATATGGTCGTTTATTATTACAGTACAAAACCAATCATAAAAATTATCGGTTTTAATTTAAAACATGCCCCATGTCTATTTTTTTGCAAGCCTTCTAACAGGTGCTTCTAAACTCCTTTCTAAAAAGACTTTTAAAGGACATTTTCCCCCCTTCGGTGTCTTGCACCAGTAGAAAAAATATCAAGCAGTGTGTTTTAACAGACAAATTGTACCACTGGGTTCTAAACTGTCTTATTTTCAGAAAAGAAATCAAATTTTAAGTAAGGTTTTTTTAAGGATATATTGCAGTAACTTTTAAATGTATCTTTCCAAGAAAGCTCAACCAATCACATACTTTCTAAACAAGCTGTCATGTTGCCATGTCACCAAGAATGGATAGTGAGATGGGCTGGATATAAATTTAACAAATTATATTTTCACTTGATATTAATTTGAAAACATTTTTCCTGATTATATTTTTCAAAATATCCATGAATTACTTTCTGTTTGGTCTAAAGGCCAACATCGAAGTCAAATGCATTTGAATAAAGTATTGGGTATTTCCATTATGCTGCCCATGTGGGAAAGAAAAACGAAAGAAGAAGAGAAATAAAATGGAAATGAAAACTAGAAAATAAAAATGAAGACTGGAGGCAGAAAAAATGAAAAGAAAAAGAAGGAAGGAAAAGAAAGTCTTCCAATCGCAATAAACCGGGCTTATTAGGGAAGCAGATGATGGCATCTAGTTGACTTCAGAAGCCATTAAGACCAATTTGTGGTTAATGCTTCAAAGGAAGGACAACTCAGCACAGTAAACAAACAAAGCAACAACATGGAAAAAGCAATGCAAAATCATGTCCATATTGTAGGGAAGCCAGAATGGAAACGTTCATAAAGTCACCTGTTCTCGAATTGAGAGTATCCAAATTTTTACCTGCTTTGTTCAGTATATCAGGATAAAAGTCTTATTGATGCTTTTGGATTTTGTAGTTGGAGAAGACCATGGACAGCCAAGTAAACAAACAAATGGATCAACAGACTGGTCAACCTTCAGACAAGCAAATTCAATGGGAGATATCAAATTTGCTTCATAACCCCATGATTCACTTAACAACTGGCAAAAAGGTCCTAAAATGGGGCTCAACTCACTTAACAACCGCCATGCTTAACAACAGAAATTTTCGGCTCAATTGCGATCATGAGTTGAGGATTACCTGTAGTGCATTGCTAAAACACCATTATTGTGATGCACACTTTTTAAAAAAAATATCCTCTGAGTAGGGAAGAATTAAGCTTTATATTCAATGCACGCCCAAATAAAATACCATGTCCACAAAAATGGGTTTTCCTCACAATTCTGTTCATATAGTATATGTATGGATTGTAATTCTCATGCAATATGGCCTTGAGGTGTTATTTCCTGCTTTGGCCCTTTGAAAATAATATCCGCTTGGAGATCTGCAGGGCTCCTACAATGCCCATCTTTAAGAGTACTTTTAAAAATAGCTTTTTCTGCAGGCTTCGAGTTGGATAAACAAGTCCCTTTGTTGTTGGAAATACGATTGAAGGACTTTACTCCTAAATAGTTGCTTTTATTGATTGTGTTTTGTACAGAATTTTGTTTTGTTTCAACTTTGTGAGGCTGCCAGAATCATCTGGATAGGAGCAGGCTAGACATTAATTTATTATTTTAATATTATATACAAACCCAAGTGTATACATGTAATAAAGGCAGACAGCGGGGGAGGGGGAAATCACAATAAAATCAGAGGGTAACAATAAACTCCCAAATGACAATAGCCATTAAAATCTTCCTTAAAACTATGTTTCACCAGCAGCTTGAACGATATGATTCCTTTACTAAGGGGGAAAAAAGCATCATAAGCGAGATATTACTCTCCATAAAGTCGTTTTTATAACCTCACCTGTCCAGGAGATGTGACATGAAAAAGAACGTTAGATAACAAAGTACATTTGGAACAAGCCACCTTATTGCTTTTCACTCTCTCAAAAAGCAATAAGCCTCTTGGCTTTCTTTCCAGGTGGCAAATGGTTGCAAAGGACAAATGATTATAACATCCAGAAGACAGAGAAAGCAGGGAAAAATAGATCCATGGAGCTTTGGTATAGGACAGTGGTAGCTAATGCACCCCCCCATGCCCCTGCACATGTGTGCGCAACCCCGTGCACACTGCGCATCTCTGTGCATGTGAGCATGATCCCCCTACGCTATGCATCTCTGCGCATGCATGCGAGACCCCCCGCACGCACTGCGCATCTCTGCACAAGTGAATGCATCTCCTGTGCAACCCTGCCCCTCTGCGCATGCGTGCCAGATACCCAACAATAAGCGGGCAGACGGGCGGTGGACGCACATGCACAGTGAACCTGAGTGTGGGCTTGCGTGTCGGCAGTAATGGCTCTTCGTGACACTTCCAGAATGCGTGCCATAGGTTCACCATCACAGGTATAGGAGGAGAGTCTTTTGAGCCAAACCTTATTTTCTTCTCTTAAATACTGGAGGCATGATCGCTTGGTATCCTGAACCTGTTCCTCTCCAAAATGTTGGGAAACATGATGTCTCAGTGCAGGTAGTCCTCGATTTACAACAGTTCATTTAGTGACCGTTCAAAGTTACAACAGCATTGAAAAAAATGACTCACGACTGCTTTCCACACGTACGACCATTGCAGCATCTCCATGGTCACGTAATCAAAATTTGGACGCTTGGCAACTGTTTCATATTTATGACGGTCGCAGTGTCCCAGGGGTCATGGGATCCCCTTTTTGCAACCTTCTGACAAGCGAAGTCCATGGGGAAGCCAGATTCACTTAACAGCTGTGTTCCTAACTTAACACCTGCAGAGATTCACTTAACGACTGTGGCAAGAAAGGTTGTGAATGGGGCAAAACTCACTTAACAAATGTTTCACATAGCAACATAAATTTTGGGGGTCAATTGTGGTCGTATGTTGAGGACTACCTGCTACTACCTACTTATTTAAATTTCGACACTGTTTTTAACTTGTACAAAAGTAAGGAAATGCATAGAAGAGCTATTCTAGTCAGTTATCTCTTGTCAATACAATCATATTACAAATTGATTGAATTCAGTGTTATTACTTAGTATTTAACTGTCTTGTTCAGTCTGATGTCTTTCCAATTCCTTCAAGTTCAAAACATTCATGCATATTTTTTTTGTTTAAAAGGCAGCAGACAATTTCTTTTGTGCCATCTCCAGTGCTCTTCCTGTTTTTTTCATCTTTCTTACCCTTTCTATATGTCTGTAAAATCCCTGTAATTCGACAGAAATGGTTTGATCTCCGCTGCCTGTTATCTTCTCTGATGCTTTTGTATAGAAAGAACAAGGCTGAACTATGCTCTGTAGCAAGGCTTTGCATTGTAGAAAAATTACCTCTACATAGCTACATGCACTGTGCCAGTCAGCTATTGATATAATTGTACAACCTCGGAGGTTTCTTTTAATCAATGTTCCTAGCATTTGGAAAGCTTCAAGGGCAAAGTTAAGGAAGAAGTACTGAAATAAAATCACTGTCTGGGCACCAAAGAGCTTCTGTGAAAAACAGCTTTCTTTTGTCCTGTTTCTTCTGTATATTTTGGAATATAAAGAGAATGCAGTGCTGTATGACATTGCAACCTCACTATGCAATATTCTAACAAAGTTTCTAGGATGTAGAATACAAGATAACAGTAGAAACTAATCAAACCTTTTAAATTTAAATTACGTGTGTGTATAATCAGATACATGGGACATATAAGATGATAAATATGATGTTACTGCTTTTCCCCAAACTTTCTTACTGTGTCATCTTCTTTTTATAAGTCAAAATTCTCTCTGATTCAATATGGCTTTCTTTTAGAGGTAGTTACTGCATCCGTTATTTGCTGCTTCATTGTGATGACTCAGTTTCCATTTCTGGACCCTAATGGCCTAAGCAAGACCCAAGGATAGGGGAGGAACAGCTCCAAATACATTTTTTCCCCTCAATCAGTCTCAAATCCAATTAAATGCTGCAGCTCCCTACCAGGCTGAGGAATCATTTCATTTCACGCATGATAACCCAGAGCCAGGGAGAAATCTAACTAGATTATTATCACGTCCCTTCTTATGTTTTCTGTAGTCCTGCTCTTTGAAACCTCAGCTACATGTAAAAAGGGAGGCGCGACTTCTGAATGGTATTGATCTTCATAAATCAACGGGAAAGGGTATCCCTGCTTGCAAATATGTCCCTCCCACAGAGGTAGTGCTGTGAGCCTGTGATTTCTAACAATAATGAGACAAGGGAGCTGTCCAGCGGAGAAGCGGGGGTGAAGGAAAGCAGTCTGGAGCTGTCCAGCTAAGTAGCTAGATGGTGAGCAGAGAATAAGAACAGATCAGAAGAAGCTTACAAGAATAAGAGATGGATATCTGTGTTGCAAACAGTAGATTGATCCAGAAAAAAAAAACCCAGACCCTTGCATTTGTGGGGAAAATACTAGGAAGAAATAAAAAATATGTGCTGGAAGATCTTAACAAGCATATCTAGCATCTGCTTGTTCTTTTTAGACATCAGCTCGAAACTTTCCTGTAGAAG